TCCATAACCTTCAACTGAGTGAAACGGTGCATGATAGGGCAACAATTTTTGAACTAAGGTACCTCAAGTGGACTAACTTACAAAATGTGTCCAAAATCCGGGACCCATGACTCCCATGGGATTGAAATTTGGAAAATTTGTGGCTGCTTCAGCCACATGATCATCATGGGTATATCCCCAATTTCTTTCCTGCCTCCCTCTGTTCCCTACACACAATCAGCTGGTGGTAAGGCTTGATGAGCAAGTGGTGACTGGCTACTTTGGAAACAAGGCAGAACTCTGAAATCTCTTAATGGCTGTGGGCATTGCGGGAAGGATGAGGGAACTAATTGGATGCCTACCGGCAAGGTAGGGCTGACTAGGGGATGCCAGTGGCCGATGCGTGAGCCCTCTTCCTCCCTCAAGGGAGGGGGCCCTTAGGGACATGCCACAATGAGGAGCAGGGGTGCAAGTTTTCCTCACGGTCCACAGGTCCCTTTGTTCCACCTCCCCTCAGCAAAGTGGCAGGCAGTTCCACAGGTCAGTTGAGGAGGAGGTGGAAGCTTCACAGGGGTTGTCCTGAGGGTTGTGAAGGCAGGGCAAATGGCACAAATCTGTATTATATGTAGGTAGGTAGGAAGATTTCTGATGCTTCCTGCCAGCTTCCCACAAGCAGTCAATGGGAAAACCGGCAGCAAGACGCAAGTTACTCCCACTTTCACTGGTTTTTGGCCCTTGTTCATTCTGTTTCTGTTTAGATAAGGAAATATCTCTGAAATGACCCAACAGGTCATGGGTTGTCTAGTATCAATTATCAGCATTCCCTCCCCAAGCCCACTTTATCAAGTAGCCACTATCTGTCAGGCAGGCTTATTTTGAAGGCGGTTTAGTACTCCTTCACCTACAAAGCTCACCAGAGACCTGATGTGAGGACTATGGAAGATTGGGGGGTACAATGGGAGAACCTAGTTTGAAAGAAATGGATTCTCTGTCTCCCCAAAGCAGAGCACTGGAAAGCGTGTCCAGGGACCAGGGGACATACTCACACCTGAGTGTATACTAAGTGCTGGCTAATCCCATCGCATACTTTCCCGACTGCACCAGCAGCAATCAAGTATGTCAAATTTTGCACATTTGAATATGCCACAGTTGCTCTCAGCTTACAGGAAAACTCCCATTTAATACTCAAACAGCTAAGGATAACTTAAGACTGCCCCAGTTTGGCTGGAGGGGGTGACATGGCAGAAAAAAGAGAGGCTTTCAGGGCATATTTGTCTCATAGTTAGGTGCAGGGATGGTATCACTAGGTAGTACACACTCAAATAGTTGAATTGATATAGAGCACTGCTATATACTTATAGTTATAAATATTTGAACTTTCCTGTTTCCTATCCCCATTTTTGTAATTAAGAGCTCCAGAAAGCTTGTACACTACCATACTTTTGTATGATTGGGTTGTTCTCATAAAGCATGGCCTAAAATGGAGGCTGGATTTATTGTGGCATGATTAAAACCTTCTATCAGGTGCAATGCTTATAATGACAACACCAGGCACATTTTATAATTACTTTTAGAAGGACATTTAAAAATGTGATATATATTTTAAAATTATATATATATAAGCTTTATTTGAAATTAATTTGCCTCTTTATATGAAAAAAATTATATTTGCATAAAACTCAAAATTTCTACTACCCAAAAAATATTGAAGACATTCATTATACTTGGATTCTTCACTACTGAAGCACAAGTTGCAAACAAGTTTGACATGCATTAGATGAAGGGTGCTGTTACATTTCTTGCATTCAAATCTTGAAAGCCTTTGGCAACTGGTTTGTGTGGTACAAGTTGCACATCTTCTTTTTGCAGATAGTCCTGAAGATGTCCATTTTACAGATGGGCATCTTTTCTTCTTCTGTGTCAGGGTGAAATTGTTTGTTCTAAAGGCATTCTAATCTTTTAAAAACACTTCTAGCTATTTCTCCCACAAGTTTATGAGATAGCTGTTTCAGAAATATCCCTTATTGGTTCTAAACAATTTCAAAGGTAAGTGACTTGTGAGTTAATGCTTATATTTAGCACAGTGAAAAATATTACCATGGGCCATTGTTTAATGTTTGTAACAACACTGAACATTGCACACATTTTATTTGCAGTGTCCACTCTTCCTTTTGTTTTATTGTAAAACATAATTATGTGAAACAGGATCAATTGATTTATCAGCACATAAACTAGACACAAGAATAAACGTTTTTTGTTTCTTTGGGATATGACACTAGTGTCTTTACTGAAGTCAAAATGCTTGAGTATTCTCTACCTTTGGTTGTAATGAATGTGGGTAGCAGCTGTGTTTTTTTTTTTTTTTAGGGTACCCACATAAGACAATTTTTTCTTTAGTTCCTCTACTACATCTATGACACTGAACCAGTTATCTACAGTTACATTATAGCCTAACCTATTTTTAGGCTCTGCCATTCTTCTTACTACATCTGTAGGTTTGTTACCTATATTGTACGGCCATTTGGCTGCTTCCCAGCATAAATCTCCAAATTATAGGAACAAAACATTTTACCATCCAAAAATGCATAAATTTTTATTCTATGCTTATTAGGTGTTGATGGTATCTACTGATGAAATGGACATCTTCCCTGAAAACCTGTAGGTATTTCATCTAACATTGTGTTTTCTCCTAGAGAAAAGTTCTTTTGGCAGTTGAGTACAAGTTTAGTGACTATTTCATGTATAAGGGCAAGTTGATCTTCCTTTTTTCTTTCTGTTTGTGTCAAACTGCAAACAACCCATTAGAAATTTAAATCATTTAATACTCATCACAAGACTGAATTTCTCTTCTCCATCTCTATTTATTCTCCAAAGATCTTCAAGACTCAATTTCCTCTGTAGGTTCCTGCTAAATATAAAAGTCCTATAAAATTTTTTTACTTCAATCAAATATGTATTTAGCATCCCTTTCTTGGGAATATTTGTCTTAGATAAAATGTATGTATTGATTGGTATATTTAACAACAATCTCAAGAATATCAACACTAAATAAACATTTCCAGCAATCCACAGCTGTTTTTGCCAACTGTGTCTTACTTATAACTCCTGGCAAATGTCTTAACAGGTTGCAAGCTGTTGTTCTTTTATTTTTTGAAGATGGATTACTATGCCATTTGGTAATTTTGTTCTTTCCTAGAAAATAATTAGCATTTGTTATTATTTCCTCTTCTTCCTCAGTTTCATGAGCCTCTTATTCTGATTCAGCATCATCACATTCTGCTAAATGATCTTCAGAATCAGTATCATTTTCATCCTTGAAATCATCAGTTTTCATCAACTTCTTCTAACAATCTTTGTATTTCCTCAATATCATTGAGTTTTATAACATCAGATTTCTTCTTGAAACTTGCCGTGTTCAAGGTTAAAATCTGTGAAAATGAAAAAAAAAATAGTAGCACAATCAGGTGCAATGGGTCTAATAGGAACAAAAGCTGAGAGAGAGAGCACATAATGTGACATTATTGCATTATTTTGTTTAGGAAGTCTCAAATAAGTAACTGCAAAGAAAACTGAGCCCGTTTGGTACAGTGGTTAAGGTCCTGGCCTAGAAACCAGGAGAATGAGAGTTCTAACCATCTCTTATAGGCATGAAAGCCGGATGGGTGACTTTGGGCCAGTCCCTCTCTCTAAACCCAACCCACCTTGCAGGGTTGTTGTGGGAAAATAGGAGGCAGGAATATTAAGTATGTTTGCTGCCTTGAATTTTATATATGGGGGGGCAGGATAAAACAGAAAAAATGTAAAAAATATTTACTGTCTTAAATGTGACACAACCAGGTGGAATACGTACGTCCCACAGATCAATAACATCATTTCTGCCTCTGAGGATACTCAATCCTGAACTATTTAGTATTGCTGTTGAGGTCACCTGATAGAAATAAGATACGGCATGAGGGGAGTGGTAGAGCTCCGCCATTAGCTGGCAAAATATATGTATGTGCCTGACAGTTCGGTTGTGCCCGGTTAAGCAGGTTTTAGTGTATCAGAGCTTATACTACCCACACATTGTATTTTAAGATTACTTCGTAGATTTGGAGCTGATGCGTGTTTATGCCGAAGTAAAGTATACAAAGATGCAAAATGAAACCTCCTGAACTCAACGCAATGTATTCCCCGGTAACTTTCTCAAGCGATAGCGCCATCGGGGGTACTCTCAGCTCCATCAGCGGCATAATTGCCGGAGTCGTAGTTTCAGCACACCTCGAAAGCATCGAGATAGAAAAAGCGAGATTCATTGTACTGTCGACCGAGCTCCCCCTTCGCTGGGGAGGCTCACTGTGCTTCGGACCTAGATCGCAGCGTGGCTCTACCCGAGCCTGCGCTCCAAGCCTTCCAAGCGCCCGCCGGTTTCTCCCTTCCCGCGCATTACGAAGCTTCTCTCATCAGAGCGCGCGTGATTACAGCGCATGCGCAAGTAGGGAAGCTTCAGGAGTCTTCCCCCTAAGAAGCGAAAGTAAGGAAGAGGCCGACAAATGGCTTTCCCGGAGTTAAAAGGCCCTTGAGTCAAACCTTAATTCTGAAAAACATTTTTGAATTGGTCCCTCTCTGGACTGCATAGTTTTTCTTTTTGGCATAAGCCTCGCTGTGGCTTTTGAAAACGTCGCGTTACTGTTCCCAACCCTACCAGAAGCAGCAATAGATAACTTCGCAAGCTGAAACTTCGGGTTCCCTTCTGAGCGGTCCAAACCGCTCTTCGCCTTTGCCCTTGAGCTGCGTAAATCCGTTTTGGGCTGTTCCATTTTTTGAAGGGACACATTGTCGCTGTCGGGTTTTAAAATGAAACACGAATATGTTTTTAAAATAATCTTAACCCTTCAGGATAAATCACACAATTTATTCAGCGTCCGGGTTTGTGATAGGCTGTTCCTTCGTCCAAGTATACCGGATCTTCCCAAAGCGCCGCCCAAGTCCTCCCCTTCTCTTTTTCGGTGAATGCAACCTCCTGCCGGTCACGTGCTCCCCCAGGCCCCTGCGTGCCTTTGCCGTACCAGCGTGCGCAAGAAGTCATGGCCGGTTTGCTCAGGTCAGCCGTGTGGTGTCGTTCACGCCTGTTTCTCTGGCGAGGGGCACGCGCCATTGCGGGCCCCTTTCTGCAGCCGTTGTCTTCGGCCACCCTCCGCAGCGGTAGCAGCAGCCCCGGCAGCGCGTGAGTATCCCCGCGAACAGCATGCCGCCTCTCAAGTCGGGAGCGGAATCAGCGTTGGGGGGTTGTGAGGGTACTTTGCGGGGGGGGGGGTTGTATCTCTTTGCTGCTCTCTAGCGGTCGTCCGAATGTTTACAGCCCAGATCTGGTCGTTCTGGGTCCGCGACACGATTCTGCACGCCTTTGCAGCCTCCCTCGGCCATGGCGGATTATGGGAGTTCTAATCCAACCCAGTTGGAAGGTGGGGGTTGAACAGTAGGTTGGAGCAGGCCACGCCACTCTGGCGCCCGTCAAACTTATCAGCTGGTGAAGTCCGGTTAGAAGACCGTCGGGAGAGCCCTGGAGGATCAGACCAAAGGCCCGTTAACTCCAGGGTCCTGTTTTTATTAGTCCCGCACCCGTTGCTGGTGGAAGCCGCAGAGTAAAATACGCGGCAGAGAGCTGGTTTTCAGAGGCAAGCTGCCTCTGGGCCTGGAAGGAACGCTTGGCTATGTCCTTTGGCCAATCTCTGTCTAACCTGGTAGCCATTGCTGCATATTGGGACAGTGATTTTCGTCCGTTAACTATCTTATGCTGAAGAATATTTTATCTTTTATCTGGCCTGAATCTTTCACCCTTCAAGCACTTTCAGTATCCTGGGATTCTAATACTATGGAATGGAGGATGTATTTATATAACCCAGCCCATGTTTAAGTGAACCATGGTTTACTGAATTAGTCCAATTATCTCTTTATGCAACACTCTAAACCAGTGTTTCTCACCCTCAGCAACAATTCTGGGAGTTGAACTCTACACGTCTTAAAGTTGCTGAGGGTGAGAAACAGTGCTCTAAGCTATAAATTAACTATTCTAGCTAGATTGACACAATTTGTTAAGCCGTAAACTAGCCAGTCACATTTTAGTTTAGTGTGTTGAGGGAACCTGGTTAGAGAGTTTTCCTCTCTATCTGTGCTTTCCAAATCTTTAATTTTATAACTGTGACATGTTTTCCTTTGCTTTTTTCTCCCTAAAATTACATTTCCAGATATTGTAATCTTTACAGGGCTGCTCTGGTCAGCACATTGTTTTGCTTGCCACTTTCTAGAGCTAACTTTACAATATCATTTTTGAATTATGATATTGTACAGGTGATGTACAGGTAGTCCTTGCTTACCGATGGTAATTAGGACCAGGAACTCCCTTGCTAAGCGATGTGATTGTAAGGCGCAACATCATATGACTGCTCCAATTTACAATGGCAGTTCTGGCAGTTGCACAAATTCAGTGCAAATGGATTTCTTGCAGGACTTGCACAGTGGAATTCAATATAGATGGATCTCCTGCAAGTAGTCAGGTATTTGCAATTCTTATCAGTGAGAAAGTTCTCTATCAGGAAGCATGCTTTAGTAACTGTTGGGTGCACCTAGAATAATAATTTTAAAAATGGATCATCCGAACAGAGCAGCCATAATAAACATCTAGAGAACTGAAATAATATGGCTATATCCAATATAAATTGGGGAAAAAGTAATGGGATCCTCAGCTACACACTACATATAGGTAGTCCTCACTTAATGACCACAATAGGGACCAGAAAATTGGTTAAGTGGGGTGGTCATTAAGCAAGTCACCATGTGACTGGACCCAATTTTATGACCATTTACGATAGTCGTAAAGCGAATCATATGGTCATTAAGCTAATCATGTGATTGTTAAGCGAATCTAGCATCCCCAATGGATATTTTTTGCTGGAAACCAGCAAAAAAGGTTGCAAGTCGTGATCACCTGACTGCAGGATGCTGCAACTGTTCATAAATGCGAGCCAGTTGCCAAGTGCCCAAATTGCAATCACGTGACTTCAGGGGTGGTGCAACGGTCGTAAGTATGAGTACAGGTCATAAACATTTTTCCGAGGCTGTTGTAACTTCGGACTGTTGTTAAATGAATGGTTGTTAAGGGAGGACTACCTGTACTTCAATATAATTAAATCCCCCCTGGAATAGAGGGTCTTTACAAAAAACATACAGGTAGTCCTCCCTTAACAATCCTAATTGGGACCAGAATTTCCACTGTTAAGTGAAGTGGTCATTAGGTGAAACATCATGTGGCTGTACTGCTTAGTGATGGCAGTTCTGGTAGTCCCAGTTGCAGTTGTTAGGCCAGGACCTCACACTTCTGCTCTGCCGTGCTTGCCTCTGCTTCATCTCCCCCCATCTGCCTATCTCCCCCCCATCTCTGCCATTTTGGCCGCCCTGCACTCTGCAACTTCCATCCCCCAGCTGACCTTTGCTGTCTTCCTCCTCCCACTGATGATGAGATGTGCCCAACAGGCAGCTGCTAGCCCTTCACGAGGCCACGTGGCCTCCCCAATCTTTCTAGTCCACTTTTAAAACTATCCAAAGTGGCTGCCATTTCCACAACTGCTAGCAGAGAATTCCATGGTTTAACTATATGCTGTGTGAAATGTACTACCTTTTCTTGTGCTGATCTCCCTGCTTTTAGTTTCATTAGATGATGTCAAGTTCTAACTTTGTGAGAGAGGGAAGAATTCTCTCTCTCTCTGTTATCTAGGACATGCTTGACTCTATGTATACCTGTATGATGTCCCTGCTTATCCTTGTTTGTTCCAAGCTAATGGGCTTCAGTTACCATAGTCTTTCCTTTTAAAGAAGCTCTTTCACCCCTCTAAACATTTTAGTTGTCCTTTTGTGCACTTTTTCTAATTCTATAATATCCCTTTTAAGGAGTGGTATGCACAATTATACACAGTACTTCAAGTGTGGTTACAGTATAGATTTGTATAGGGGCATTATTACATTGGCAGATTTTTTTTAGTCCCATTCCTAATAATTTTGGAATTTGCTTTTTTTACAGCAATTGCACATTAGGTTGATACTTTAGTTGAGCACTCTAGTGACTCCATGATTCCATTCCTAGTCAATCTTTGCCAGCTCAGACCATGTGAATGTATTGGTATAGTTTGGATTTTTTTGTGCCAATATGCATCACTTTGCACTTTTTATGCTGAACTGCATTTGCCATTATGAAACCCATTCAGCCAGTTTGGAGATATCTTTTTTGAGCTTTTCACAATCATTTTTGGATTTAACCGCCCTGAACATTTGGTATCACTAGGAAGCACACCCACTTCACTATACATCCTCTTAACTCCAGATCATTTATGCACAAGTTAAACAAAATCCATTGGGAACTGTACTTTGCAAATTTTGCCAGTGTGATAATTCCTCATTTATTCCTACTCTATCATTTTTTTTAACAATTGCCAACCTGTGAGTACATGTGTCCTCTGACCAAGAGACAGTGATGAGGGACTTTGTTAAAGACTTCTTGGAAGTCCAAATATATACTATCTACTCTTTTACTATTGTCTCTATGCTTGTAGACACATTCAGGAAAGCTTAGAAGACTAATTAAATAAAAATGTAACTTTGCAGAAGCCATATTGGCTACTTTTCAGGAAGGCTCATTCTTCCATGTGTTTCCTTACATTCTTTTTAATAATACCTTCAACCATTTTTTTTCAGAGTATATTTTGCTTTGAGTTCTCCTCATTTGGGCAAGATTTTCATTGCCATTACAGTAATAGCATTTCTGATCCAAATCATTAGATACTCTGTTGTCTGTTTGGGCTGGATGGTACTATTTCTGATCTGAGATACACATTCTAACTATAATTCTGTTGTAGTTTTGAATAATCTCCAAGGCTAAAGCTATTTTTATTGAGAATAAAATAATAACAGAATCTTGCAAGTCTGATGGTGCTGTACTTCTTCCTTCTTCATATACTCCGGTGAATCAGGAAGGCATCTACTTGAGCCACATCTGAATGTTATCTTGTTGTTCTAGACTTAAAAAATGTTTCAGCCCCTTTTGCCTAGGTAATGGTTCCTACATGTTTCCTTCAAGACCATCTTCCTTACTTTTTGCGGTTCCATGCATACATTGTGCTTTATGGCACTCTATGTCCTTTTTGACATATAGAGCAAATCCTTCCCAGTACGCCTTTCTGTCTTTTCTATAGAGGTCATCTGCACAAATAATTTCATTGGTTATGTTACATTCCATTTGATTTCTTTAATGTCTGTTACATCTGTGTTTTGTTCTGTTATCAGGTATTCCAACTTTCCCGTTTTGACTTGGAAGGTTCTGGTATTTGCATATAAGGACCTATATATAGTCTTACACCTGGAGTTTCTTCAGCATGCACCTTTACCCTTGTAACCTTATGGCTTTCTTGATTAACTAAACTCATTTCCTATACCTTTGCTGCCCCCCTTGGAATAGATATTGAGATGTGTATGTTCATCCTCTAGGAATGATTTTTCCTGAACTTTCATCTTGTTGGCTTTCCTCAGGAATCAGATTAAAAGCTCTTTACAATCTTTTTTATATAACTTGCCAGCAGTCTGGTGTCCTCTTTGTCCAGGATTGTATGTTCTTTTTGTACAGACCTGTCTTGTCCTGAAAGGCAACCTAGTGCCTCACAGATCTAAATTCTTCTTCTTGGCACCATCACCTCATCCAAGCACTGAGACTGCTCTCCTATCCAGTTAGTCCTGTACTTGGAACAGGTAGCATTGTCAGTAAAATCACCATGGCAGTCCAAGCAGGCATGTTACCATGTGGTTGACATGCCTCTCATGCACCTATCTCTGTACCTCTGATAGTCAGCCACACACAACCAATTCCTAGAAGCCACCTGTGCCCAGAGACTTACCCTTAGTGCAAGAGCTTATCTGTTCATCTTCCAAGGACGTGGGTCCCTTCTAAGAGATGCTTTCCATGGAATGATGTCCCCCTACCCTGAGAACCACATTCCCCATGATTGCCACAATTGGATTGGGCTGATACTTATTCACAGTGTCCTTTGTCATCAGCCAGTCTGACTCTCCTGGCTTCTCCAGTTCAGCTACTGTGGCACTGAGGGAACAGATTTCTTCCCTGAGAGCCAAGAGCCTTAAAGCACAAATTGTATTCCCCCTGATTTCTGCCCAGCAGAGAGT